AGGCCCAACGAGACGCGATCTCGTACTTCGAGGCTCGAGGCCTTTGTGATTGTGCTAGTGTCTGCCATGTAAACGTTCGTGCGATGCAAGCTCAGACCTATGTTAGCTTGACTTTGTCACCCAAATATTAAGAGCATTAAGGCCTTTCCTCGTCTTATCACGGCCTGCCTAACGGAGCACAGGAGCCTCACTGAGCTCTTCCGACTTTCAAGCTGCCAGTGAACCATTTGGCTGAAACCGCTGGCGAACAACTTGATGCTGCCTATCGCGCAGTACAGTGGCTGGAAGAATTTTTAATTGGTTTCAAAGTACATGCAGGAATAAGCTCTATCTGTGGTGTTTTTCACGCGTGGTGGAGACAAGGTGACCCAACACTATTCTATTGAAAATATTCTGTATATGTGCTCAAAATTTATCTACTTTACCAGCCACATTTTTGCTACGTGGGGCTTCAGAGGAAAGGAGCATCGCTCATGGGACAATGCTTCTACTGTCAGAACAAGCACAGGTCGGGGATCGCTGCAGGAGTTACGCAAATGGAGTATAGTTACCCGTACGCACCTCGAGCGTGTGCTCTTTCAACCACTCCTTTCTACAGAAATTGCAATACTGAGGACAAAGATTCATTTGTCCTGAGATAGCTGTGCTTCTGGGAGTATTTTCCGCTGGCAATGATGCTGGGGGGTGCGGTGAACCCCTCGAGAGCCTCTGCAACAGCGCCTCGCTGAGGCCATAAACATCGCCTTTCTGGTGTCCCTTTCCCCAAAAGCCTTTACTCTGAGTATTACAAATTCTTTTGTCCATGCAGGCTTGCTTGCTCTTTTCTGTAGCTCGGCTCACGCTGTGCCTATTTGTATTTAGGACACCGTAGAGCCTTTTGCTAGTTCATACGACGCCCTGGTATAGCATTGAGTAAATCTCCTGCACTTTCAACCAACGAATCGTGCGAAACAGAGGAGTGCGTGTTTCTAAAGGCTAGTTGAGCGCAGGAGCACTGTTCAAGTCCTTTGGGCATGCCGAGCTGGTTGTGTTGCGGGATTAATCCCACAGCCAAGAAAGGAAAGCCCTAGTAACCGAGTTTCTGAATTAAAAGCCTGCACTTGAAAAACCTCTATGAAAAATGTAACAAAGGAAGATGCTCAGGGATTGGCATATACGGTTAACGTGCATTGCAGTTTCGGGCATGCGGATCAATACATCTTTCAAACGGGCGGTGATTCCCTCTCACTTAAGGGATGTAAATATGCATCGAGCCTTTTGTCCACTGGGCCAAACACAGCAGTGTAATGTCTTTCAGCCTGATTCAGCAGCGCTTCACGCATGTAAACTCCGTGAAAAGCCTTTGCTGCTGCTTTAGAGGTTTTTCGCGCAACAATTTACAGATGTCCCTGGGGACTCTTAATTACCTTCAGTGTATTTCGCAGCTACAGCAAGGTTTTGAGTTGGCTTTGGCAGAGTCGGTTTGCTGTTTTGCACCAAGATTGTGCATAATGAGGAGAGCTGACACTTTTTGAACTGAAGAGGTATCGACAACTTTGTCTCACGGGTAGCCATTGTGTGCTTTAACATTTGCAGTTTACATCCTTAGTGAATTTGGCGCGTTGAATCCTTGTGCACTAGGCTTCTCTAAACTTTGCCTTCGAAGCAAGCAGCAAATGAACTTGCACCGCTTGCTGAGATGGCACGGTAGGGCGGCTGCTTCCTGCCGTCTTGTGCAAAATGTGTTGCGTCAGCTTGCCCTATACCCACTCAGCAAGGTTTCTCGGTTCCCTCCTTTTCGGGTATCTCGTGTTTTTCTTTTACCTATATATGCCGGTAAAATGCACTATCTTCCACTACACTGGCTCGCTACCGACCGCCCTGAAAATACCACGCCGTCTCATGATTTGTGAGCCAGTTGAGTCCAAGCAACAGTGTTCAGTGACCATTCATAATTGTAACCAATGGTCTCTATTCATATAATTGCCCATGCGAAACAGTACAACCAAGCACTCGCCAATCTGCTACTCGCACAGCAGTTTCGTAATTCCTCCAGAGCTTGTCCACTCACCAGATGGCGTCTCGTTACATTGGTTGAGGTGCTTTTTCCCGTTCAGCTGCCCTCTCCTTCCTTCAAACGTACATGCAGGCAAACGCCGCAGCTTGAATACACTTCTCTGAAGCTGTGCCATGTTGCAAACGCACGCATGCCTCCCTCCGTTCCCTTGTGCGCACAGTTAGGCACACTTCTTTGTCCTCAATGCCTCCAAAGCGTTCCTCTTCGTCCTCATGTTTACACGTTCTACGCACTGCGTCTGTCCGCTTTTTCTTTTGCCTCAAAAGCGGCTTTGCAACATTATGTGCCAATTGTTCTTTTCATTGACAACACGTGTGATTTTTTGCGCTTCGGTGCGAAGGGACGCCCTACGACGCAGCCTTCTGCTGAACAATCAGTGGTGGTGGTAGTCTTTTTGGCTGGCCTGCTCGCTGTATGACAAGACTTCTAATTCGCATCCTTTCCAGAGTCCTGTATCCAGCTGTCAAAGTCAATTTCAGGGCAATCCTCTCCACCTACGAGCAGGTATAGCTCTCGTGCCCCTCCCCCTACAACTCAGCGGCTTCGCTGCCAGGCAGGTTAGCTTCGAAACGAATTACCAAATGAATGAGGTGAGGACGTTTATCTTCGCAGCGTAAAAGAGAGGACCCGGCCCCCTACTCTGCGGGGTCTCTGTTTCATCTAAACTAGATCCGGGACGCTAGCACCTCCTCTCAAGCAGCACAAAATCGGAAGCTCATACTCAACCGAGTTCCCCACCAAACCTGCAAGCTAACGGTGGATTTGAAGAGGTGCAAAATATAGCCGACAGCTTTCCCTTTTCAATGTCTTCTCTATTTCTCCATTTTCCATGGAATGCACGGGATTGTTGCCGCCATGCGTCCTATCTGTCTGCACAAGTCACCGGAACAAGCCTTGCACAGCTAACAGCCTCGGAAATGATGCATATATCGTTATATTAAAGCTTTCAACTACATGCTGAGAGCACCGCATCCAGCTCTTTCCCTGCCGAATCGGCAGAGAAGGCTGCAATATGGGTCTAGCGCTGTATTGCTCTATTGCCTGCTCACTGACACTCTATAGCCCCAGGCATACAGTCTCTATAAACATTTAAACGACTTTTAAATTAGTTTTTATAAAGCCAGGAGCGTTGGAGACGCCCAGACTGAGCTCAGGTCTCTCTGCAGCTCTGGGCGTCTCTACTAGCAGACTCTGTGGTGTTGCCGGCAACTCCAACATTGTCTGCTGTCAAGGACCCAGGAGCTCCCCGCCTGGAGAGCGTCCCTTAGCTGACATACAGCTAATTCGTCGTATGCGTGAGTGTGATGTAATTATGTAATTATATCGTATTTCAATGCAGTATATGGACTCCACTGTAGTGGAAGGCGGCCAGGGAATTTACGACGGTGGTCATTGCCATCGCTCAACGTTGAGCACAAGTGCTGTTGATGAAGTGGTTCGTAGCGTATCGCGTAACCTTAGGCTTGAATTTACGTGCGCGCGACCAATTGGCGCTCGGTAAAGTGGATAAGCCCAAAAGTCTTCTTGTCGTGCAACCTCAACGAAGGCCGAGGCCATTCCCCTTCCTCACCCATGATGCAAATCGATCTGGGCGGGCTCCGCGGAGTGGGTTCATTCCTCCAAGCATTACTTTACTTCCCTGGTTTAGACACTTTTTAATCATAATGAGGCTCTCACACGGTGTTTATCCCCTGTGTCCTCAAATAACTCTGGGCATCTTCAGACGCCCTGCGCCTCAACAAAATAGCCACCTGCGCACTGCGGTCAATAATTGCTAGACCCAAGACTTCCTCCCGTTAGTTTTCATAGAAACATGCATTTTCTTTTGTTAATTCACGATATACTCATCAAAGGAAGCGGAGAAATGGCAAAATGCAAAGCTTATCCAGCTGGCACGGC